TTTTTTTGTATCGAAAAAATATCGAACCGTGACACCAAAGTATCGAACTGAACCGAACCGTGAATTTTGTGTATTGTTGCACCCCTACTACTTGTGTGAGTGGCATGTTGTATGTCCAGAACCACTGGACCATATAGCATGTACAGTTATGTGCAAAATAATAGCAATGTATTTAAAACAACAGAGGAAAAGTTCCACGTTACTTCCATAGCATTTAGCATTCCAACAGCATTTATTTCCATGTATACAAAGGAACTGGGAGCCGTGCACATTCAATCCCAAATGAAAACATGAACAATTTTGTCTTTTCTTCTCTTCTTCTTTTTTTAACTGAAAATGAAGAAAAACAATGGGTTGTTTAAAAAAATTTAATTTACAAACTGGAATATTTACAGTATAAACTGAAAATATAATGAGGATTTTGCTTTTCCTTTAAGCACTGATTATTTAGGTGTATAACCATTATTTCTGGTCACTGCTTTGCATCTGTGTGGCACGTAGTCAACTAACATTTAACACCTGCAAACAGAAATTGCAGCCCAGGCTGACTGGACTACAATCCACAGATCTTCTGCATTTTTGGGTTTTGCATCAAAAACAGAATTTTAGAGGTCATTCCACAAATTCTCAATCGGATTGAGGTCAGGAGAAGGGGCTGGCCACTTCGCGACATCAGTCTTTTCGGTCTGCAGCCAGGATGTTGCCCGCTTGCTGGTGTGTTTGGGGTCATTGTCCTGCTGAAACACCCATTTTAATGGGATTTCTTCCTCAACATAAGTAGAGATGGACCAATCCGATATTACGTATCGGTCCGATACCGACCTAAATTACTGGATTGGATATCGGAGAGAAATAAAAAATGTAATCCGATCAATTCAATATCACAAAAGCACCTCACAAAACTTGCAACATAGCAACCCAGCTCATAACCTTAGCATGTCGGAGGAGTATGCATCTCGTGATAGAGCGTCTGTGGCGTGTGAGACCTGGTCTGGTTCAGCATTTGGAGCCTCGCTACATGCTTCCAAACCGGCATTTAATCTACGAGAAAGTTATCCCAGAGAAGTAAAGCAAGTGTGCAAGCTCATCTCAGAATGTTGGAGTTGGCAATTTGTCTTAATTTTGTCTTTGTCTTAAACTTTTTGGCTTAAAGTGACAAACTCCAACGATCTCAAACATCCTACTCATCATCCTCGTCTACATTTTCATGATAATTTTTGCGCATATGATTGATTATTACCGAGTTATGTAATATCATAATTTCATGATATTCATGAAAATAGAAAATTAACTTTTATTACTTCCGTTACAATTTCCTGAGGCATAAATCATTTGACACGGGGGCCATAAAACATTGGTTTGACACGAAGTAGGTAATTTCTCTCTCTTCCATCTATATAATAATAAATATAAAAATATACAAGACATCCAAACAAAGTTCATTTTATTTTTATATTTAAACAGTAACAAAAGTCAGCAGCGGACCAGCTTTCTCCTGCCACTGATGCGTGTCCACAGGGTTCGAGCTGTCTGGGCAATGATCAGTCCACGGGGCAGGCGGAGGCTCTTCAAAGGCTCCCTGATACAGGCCAGCACTCCTGGATGTGTGGGCTGCCCCAAGTACTCGTGGGAAATGTAGTTTATTCTCCTCAGCTGTTCGCCATAATAATTCCTGAGGTCGCAGAGCTCCTCAGCTGCTGTGTCAGAGATGATGGAGGTCTGGGAAGGAGAGCTAGGCACAGTGATATGGGTGGATGGACAGGGAACATGCCCTGTGGCTGCTGCTGTGTGAGCACAAGCTTTCCTTCGCATTCTCTGAGGGGTGCTGGATTTGCAACTGGAACAAGGTTTATCTGAATGTGACGGTGTTTTCTGACAATCACTGATTCCTACATGATGTACTCTGTTCATTTCAACATCCGCCTCAATTATATGTTGAAATACGATAGGTTTATTCTTCTTTTCCTCTGCCTTCCCATATCTGTCCGGTCTCGCCATCTGCTTGTTTGTCTGGCTGACTGGCTTCAGGTCTTGTCTTCTCGATACGTTCCTCTTTTCTTTAAATATTATCTGTTTAGGTTGTGGGGGACAGCTGTCCTCCACAACAGTGGAGTCTAAGGTCATATTGACATCCTCTTCATTCACTTTAACAGCTGAGGTGTCCTGTAAACATGAAATTCAATGTTAGTGAAGTCTTCATTCTGGAATAAGCCACTGGATGTACACAAAGAGGTGAATGTGTCAAAATAGAGAAACTTAAAAGTATCATGTTCATAAAGTGTATACAGCAACAGAATATTTAACCTACAAGTAACCAGGAATGTGTTAGTTTGATGAAATGTTAGCGAGAGCTTGGTGAAACATGCTTCTTAGTGTAAAATCTGAATATTTAAGATTTTACACTAAGCCCAACAGGCGTGGGCGAGAAAATATAATCAAGATAACATTTATTATGCCCAAGGGGCAATTTGCTTTGTAGCCAGCTGCATAAATAACACATCCACCCAAAATTACATAACAGAATTTCAAAAATGAATAGTGGTAGGGACGAATGAAAATTTAAATCTGTTTGTTCTGCAACGAGGCAAGAAATACCTCCTCCCTGAAGGCAACAGCTGATACTCTAAAAAAAAAAAAAAACCAGAGGGTGTCATAGCACCCTGAATCCGTTCTGGCTTCAGGGTCGCCCTCCCTTTATGCATGAGGGCAAGATCATTTTGCTACACAATTTAAAAATGAGCTCCAGCCTTTTCTTATTTTTCAGGCTAAGAGACCCAAACCAGCAGATTAAAGAAAACGAAAACAGACTCAATAAAACAAGAACATTTTCATAAAAAATATTATCCACATTAAAACCACTTCGTTTCCGATACAAATACATACGCTGGTGAGTCTTTGCACATATGGTGTCTGTAATCACATCAAATTTAAACTTTTAATTAAGTATGGTGCCCAGATATTTATATTTCTCATTTTTTATTTAGAAAAAATCAACAACCATTTCCTTTATTTTAAACACATTAATGTCAAGAAAAGACTGTCCACACCATGCTTACAAAGTCATCTACAACTGGGCCACAGTCACAATCTGTATCGTGGAGCAGAGAGAGACGATAACGGAGTCGTCTGCAAACTTGATTATATGTCCGTCCTGGTAGAGGCTCTGACACTCATTTGTATAAAGAACCAAAGTGGAGAAAGGAAACACGCTTGGGGGGAAACAGTGGAAGATAAAAGCACATCTGATAGAATATTGTTGACTCTCACTTTCTGAGGTCTATCTGTTAAAAAGTCAATAAGCCAAGAAATCAGTCCAGAATCAACATTAAATGTACGGATGAGATGTCTTGCTAAAATATGGGGCTGAAGACAAAAAGCAGGCAATAAAAGTTTGCTACACCATCCATGTGCTTCAAAACCATATAGAGCAAGGTGCACACAGCATCCTCTACCCTACCTATTACCTGTTCTATAGGGGGTGAGGAGGTGTAATTTATCCTGAGTAGCATGCAAAAGCTCATGTTTTACAAGCTTCTCAAAAGTTTTCATCACCATGGAAGTCAAAGCAACAGGCTCAAAATCAGGATTTTAAAAATGCGGTAACAAGTAACAGTGTTCATAGCACCATGCATACACAAGCAACTGTGAACAGAGTAGGGAATGATGAACTGTACTTTGTAAACTTGTCCTCTGGGCAGGTGAGAGAGGGCTATGGGAGATGTGTCTTGATTTTCTTGGACACAGTGGCATCTCCACAGCTCTGAACTGATCTCTTTCCCTCTTTGGATTTGCCCTTGCCACTGGAGACTTTTACCTGCAGGTCATTAACAAAAGTGCTTTATCCGAATAGGTTCACACCGATGTGGAATGTATGAGTCGACACTAGAAGGGGAGGACATGCAACAATCCAGGACAGAATCTGATTCAGTGCCAAAACAGGAAACCGTGAGATCTCAGAACGGTACTGCTGTAAAGATCTAATTTACAACCCCATTTCCAAAAAGGTTAGAAAAGATCCTCTGCATTCAAGTATTAAGTATTTCAAGTCTGAGGAGTTGTAGCTTGCTATATCAGTGTGATTTGTCCACCATCATTGTTTATATAAACACAGATCCCTCCTCCCGTTAAACGGGAAAATCCACTTGTTAGCTTTAATGTTCGGGTGTGTAGAGCACTGTAAAGCAAAGAGGACTGTGCAGAGGAGAGCATATTTTAGTTGGCTAGTTCTGTGAGTGTAGCTGTTGAATTGAAGAGTACATTGACAAGTAGTTTTACTTAGTTTATTCATAAAAAAAATTAATTATCTTTTCTGAAGCAATTATATTTTTTTTGCTAATTTATTTATTTATTTGATAGTGCTTGGAAACTCCAGGAAGAGAAGCAGCTGAACATTTTTACTGCAACCAATTTTTAGGACTATTTACATGTGGCATAAATAATACATGCAGAAGTTTACATGTCCCGAACAGAAGTAATGAAAGTCATGCATTTTTCTGTGTACCCTGTACCCATACCATTGACCTGTTTAACCCTTTTATAACCCATTTATATTAAATAGCTTTATTTCCAATTCAATTCAGTTTTATTTATACAGCGCCAAATCACAACAACAGCACACTTTATATTGTAAGGTAGACCCTACAATAATACGGATGACCTGATATCGTCGTGTTGGTGTTGTTCCCACATCATCACAATAAATGTTGTTCTGGGTTCAACATTGCAAGTGACCAATCACATTGTTGTGACATCATACTTTTGCAGCCAAGCGATTCAATCATTTTGCATCAATCATGTTGCAAGGACAATATGTATAATGCTTATCGATTATTAAAGAGCAGTATCCTGAAATGCAAAGAATTCAAATTGCTGGATCGGCAGACAGAGGCGTTTTTTCTCAAGTACATTTTTTTTAACGGCTTTTTTTTTTCCTGAAGTCGTAAAAGCATGACGTCACAACTATGTGATTGGTCACTTGCAATGTTAAACCCCGAACAACATTTATTGTGATGATGTAGGAACAACACCAACACGAGGATATCAAATCGTGCCAATAATACATACAGAGAAAAACCCAACAATCATATGACCCCCTATGAGCGAGCACTTTGGCGACAGTGGGAAGGAAAAACTCCCTTTTAACAGGAAGCAGGAAACAGGAAAACCTCCGGCAGAACCAGGCACAGGGAGGGGCGGGGCCATCTGCTGCGATAGGTTAGGGTGAGAGAAGTAAGACAGGGATCTAAAAGTGTTTATTTTGACTAGAGTGTCCTTATGACATTTTTATTCACTTAGAGCTTTTAAATAGAACATAAATGGTTTATTAGGCTCTTTTGGATTAGTTACTAATAAAAAAAATATTCCAAACAGTACAGTGCAGTCTGCTCACTCTGATCTGTTTGTGCTGGCACTCAGTCTGATTGTAGCTGTAATATTTTACAAATTGAAAATGTTTATTCAAACCTGTTGCAAACAAAGACAGTGTGATGTACTAACTAAAGTGAGTGTTTTAAAATTCAGGCCTAACTACACCCAACTGTGACATGAAAACAGATGTGATTTGTAACTTACTTTGTAGTTAGGGTTAGGTGTTATACTAAAAAACTCTCCTAAATGATGGTAACAGAAGAATATGTTTTTTTCTTCAAACTTACCAAAGCAGCTCCGGCCCCTGCATCTCTCATCTTCACGCTCAGTGTGTGTGTCGGGTTCTTCAGCAGAGAAGCTTTGCGGCCCAGCTTCATGTAGAAGTAGGTGGTGTAAGGTGTGAAGCTGAAATCCTCTCTGAGGTCAACACATTGGGAAGAACTCTGTGTCAGACAGACTTAATGGTCACAGGATCAGAGCTTTATCTTTAATCCCATGAACTAGAGACTTACACAGCCTGATGGTTTGCCACAGTCAGTCAGGTCAAGTTAAGGTGAGTTTAAAGCTTTATTCAAAGAAAGTAAAAGTGAAAAGCATGTCTGGCCTTTAACTTCAGCTACTCCTCTCTATAGACTAAATATGGTCCGATTTCCAACACAATGTATTTGCAGAGGCTGTGTGATTTGAGGGAAACTTCTCAATGCATTTTTGTTCTTTACATTGTGACAGGTCTGATCCTAATTAGAAAAGCTAGAATGGATATTCTGAAAAGGGCCTGATGTTTTGAGTTCAATTTAATTTATTCTGCATTTCCTAGGCCCCACATCGGCAACAGTGCACCGGTTGCTAGCTTGAAGGCTAACCTACTGTAGAGGAAGAAAATGGTATCCAAACTTGGTTAGCAGTTTGGAGGCACTTCATTGACACCAGTGGGTTTTCTTTGCATTTCTTTGCATGAAATCAACATCTTTTTCTGACATGTCAGAAAAGAGAGATGTGTCACACAAAGATGATCTCTTTTAGACCAAGAAGCACTCCAAGAGCACCAACCTCTGCCCAGGCAGCTCACTCTCTTCTCCTCAGTATTTACTTTTAGGGGTACATTATATTTGCATTTTGTTGTCTTTGTTCTTTTTAAATGTATTTTAAGAAGTTTGCAGTGCAGTAACAATAATGCATTTGGGGGTTAACTTTAAAGAAGTGCACATGTGAAATGTAAAAGTGATGTCAGAGATCAAATGTGACATATTTGGATCTAACTGTAATGTGATATTTAGAATCCTTATATACCAGTATCATTTCCTGTGCCAATACAATCAGAGGAAGCCAAATTTTAATGGATCGTTAAGCCAAGCCTTCTCTAAACCCCATCCAAGGTTTTATCAGAATTCATTCAAAACTTTTCCAGCTATCATCTCTACAGACAGGCTGACACACAGAAATGCACACACTGGTCAATTAATGAACAAAAACAGAACAATAAACAAAGTCATCTTGAAAAACTGTAGTGAATTGATACTTAATAAATAAAATTGAATTAAGCTAAATCCACAGAAAGAAACGAAGCATGAATCACCTGAGGTATCCCTGCAGGAGCAGGTGAACAATCACAACTTCAGCCTGTCGCCGAGACAGCGTGGTGGTCTGAATCATCTTCCTGTGCTTTGCAGGGCCTTTCCCCATCCATGCATCCACCAGTTTCAGTGGGGTCAGTTTCTCATCCATGGAGGCTGCAAGCTCCACAATCTGCACCACTTGCCTGGCATGTTGGGTAATGTCCACAGTGGGGTAATCTGGAGGAGGGTGTTAAAAGTGAGGTGATGGATTTAGGGCATATGATCGATATGGCTGACACATAAAGCAATAAATTTCATCACCACCCACACCTTTTGCTTGACTGCAAGTGTCACACATCTGGTTGCATCCTTCATCATCCCACACTTCATCAAAGTGAACTGCCATGAGAGAGCGCCGACACCTTCACAAAGCAGATATTACATTTAAGAATATATATTACATTTAAGACTGTGCAAATTGGGCAGCCCGCACTGACATCCTGTGCTACCTGTTAACATTCTGGCAGTAATCTACCATCTGTAGCAATTTCTGCTGACCAACATTCTCCATCACCACCATGGTGCTGATCCTGAAGATATCAGCGAAGCCGAAATAGACAATGCAGTCAGCCGGAGAGTCATCTCGACCTGGAGACACAACGGAAACACTTAACATCGGAATAATAACCGTGAGTAATGCTAGAACGGTATTGCTTATGCTACCAATAGAAATTATAGGCCGTCTACCTGCCCGTCCACTCTCTTGGTAGTAGTTCTCAATGGACTTGCTGATGGTGTGGTGGATGACAAACCTGACGTCAGGCTTGTCAATGCCCATGCCAAATGCCACAGTGGCTACCACAACCTAAACACACAAAAACGAAAAAAACAACTCATGTGTTTTACAGATGCATTATTCAGTGAGCTGTTTACAAGCATGGAATGGAATATTTTTTTCCAATCAGAGGTATTGCCCCTCTCTATGTATGGGGGAACTTCAGTGCTGATTTTGATGGATAAAGGCTGATATCAGGCTATTAAACTCAATTGTTTAGGAAATTGGTGTCATATATATCTATATATCTATATATATATAGATATATAGATAGATAGATATAGATATATATAGATATAGATATAGATATATAAGAAAAAAAAGACGTGAGCAGAAAATCTTGACCCAATTCTTATAGAAAATCTCAGCAGAAATGCAGCTGTGCATATGTTTCTTTACTGACCTGAATTTTGTTGGAGGTCCATTTGCGGTGAACCCGGGACTTGTCCTCAGAGTCCATGTTTGCATGGTAAGGATATGCCAAGATGTCTCTTTTCTGGAGTTCTGCTGACACCAACTCTGCATCCTTCTGAGAGAATACATACACAATTCCTGTGGCATGTATGAACAAAGCAGAAAATATTCATACATGATTATTACGTATAGAAATATTCACATTATAATTGTCTATTCTAGCATGACTAAAAATACTTTCAATTTCAATTTTATTTCTATAGCACATTTAAAAGTCACAGGTACAACAAAGTGCTTCACAGACGAGCCATCTTTGCAGAATTGAGGATATTAACCTTTTTTAGCCATTTTCCACTAGTGCCCACTCAGCTCGGATTGGCTCAAATCAACTCAATTTTAAGGGTTTTCCATTAGGTGGTAATAAGTGGTAACCAGGTACTTTTTTAGTACCTATTCGGTCAGGCTTCCAAGCAATCTGAGACAATCAGAAAATGGAACAAACTGGATGACGCCAATTGGCCAGTCAGTGGTGTCACTGGGGTCATGAGAGTGACTCCTTCTCAAAAATCAAAACCACTATTTTTGAAACCCAGCACTGAGGAAAATGGCTACACAAAAACCAATACCATGGTCCGCAAGTTTAACAGTAAGCCGTAGGCTGAGCAGAAGGTATACCATCGCCTCAGCGTCCTTCACTGTTTTGTTTGTGTAGTATACAAATGACAACCACGTTGCTATAACAACCCATGCATCTACTCAATTTTAATGGAAAATCACCAAAACAGAAGAGAATCAAATTGAGTCGGCACTAGTGGAAAAATGGCATTAGTAATGTTTTATATATGCAGCAGTCTTGTTTGTCATAGTACCTGATTGGTCCTTGTATTTACTCTTGATCAGAGCAGCTATGTCATTTACTGATGCTTCACTGACAGAATCCTTTATACGAACCTGAGAAGGAAATGAAACACGTGTTAAGTGTGTATGAAGATGGGGAGCATAGTAAAAAGAAGTTTATGAACCCTAACTCTTAACTTCTAGAGCACAGGTGTCGAAATCCAGGCCTCGAGGGTCAGTTTCCTGCAGGTTTTAGATGTGTCCTTGATCCAACACAGCTGATCTGAATTAAATGGCTAAATTACCTCCTCAACATGTCTTGAAGTTCTCCAGAGGCCTGGTAATGAACTAATTATTTGATTGAGGTGTGTTGAAATAAGGCGATATCTAAAACCTGCAGGACACCGGCCCTCGAGGCCTGGAGTTCACCACCCCTTTTCTAGAGAATTCCTCTACAGCCTTTTCGAACTTTGTGTATTCATAGAGTATCTTCTGTCTGTAAGAGTTGTTAGATTAATGCATGATCCAAACCATGTCTTGTTGAGAATTTGTATAACTTAACTTCTATAAAGGGCACTTCTACAGTCCAAAGTTATAGTCAAGGGGCTGAAAAATGGAGCTAAAAACTACAGGCACTTCAGGCTGGTTTTAAAAGCCAGTAAAATACCAATAGAGTCCCATGTTAAAAAAATACTACCTCTACATTTTGACTGAAATTGTGTTAAGCGTTGGAGTTATCTGACAGAGTTGGTCACATTAGTGTTAGCCCAATTTAGCAGACATAACTAATGTAACTATACTCAGCTCACACATTTGATGTGTGAGAAAGCAAGTTGTATAAAGCTCTTTGAATGCTCGGAGCAGAAATCCTTCCTTGCTGTTTGGCATTTTCTTTTATGTGCAGGTTCAAATGCACATAATAAATAAATGTCTTTGTGATTATTACATCGTATCATGTCATCATGTTTATTTGACAAGGTTTTAACTGTTAAAATGAAGTCGATTTGATTTAGTTATTAAATCAAACCAAAAGTAACATCAATTTATTCAATACAGTGTTAATATCTGAAATGGGACCCGCAGTAAAAAAGGTTAAGAACCTCTGCTCTATTTAATGATTATACAGTGGAGGTGACAGTTATTAACTCTGAGAAAAGATAAAGAGCTGACTTCATAAGCACATTTATTTTTTATCTTTCTATCATTATTCAGAGAGTTTGCCTTCCACCTGATATATTAGGTAGATTCAAAGACAGATGATGTCAAGCACACCACACAGTAACTGTGTGATCCGACTGTGAATAAGCAGCACACTATTTTGTCCCAAATTCACAGGGAAGAAAGAGACTGACAGATTGGTTCAGAGACTTTCAACATCCAACCACATCTAAAATATTGTTTTTCTTATATTATCCTGCATTTTCTTTTTTTATTTTACTGGCCTTTTAAAATCAGCAATGGTCCACAGACTAAAGCAGGGGTGTTGAACTCCAGTGCCAGAACTTCAAGACACGTTGAGGAGGTAATTTAGCCATTTAAATCAGCTGTGTTGGATCTAAAACCTGCAGGACACCGGCCCTCGAGGTCTGGAGTTCGACACCTTTGGACTAAAGTGTTTTTCAGTGGTTAATGTAATGAACATACTGACGTTATACCTTGGAGTAACAATAGTGGTCTATTCAGCATATTTTCCCAACAGTTTAGCATATGTCCTGCTACCACCATAAATCAGTTTATGTTTGAGTATGAGGGATAATCATTTTGTGTTGGTTTCAAACTGGATATCGAGATTCATGTAAGTCTACTGTGACATCCCCGCCCGGTGATGCTGGTGTCTGTCCTGCCAAGCGTGTGACAATGACATTGTATTGACTGTTATTAATCAATTGTTTATTTTAAACTGATGCATTTTCATGTTTGCAATAACTATTCATTTGATATATCATAAACCTCTTGGCATGTCAGTCTGTATGAGATCAAATTGCTTTTTGGACATCTCATAAATCCTGTTCTGTAAGGTGACAACAAAACTGGATTTTATTTCCAGAATATTTTTCATGTAGATTTTTAGGAAAAAATCATAAATAAACATTTCAGGGTAGAAATGTTTCATTATAGCATAAAGTGAATAACTCGGAAATACTATATTGGCTGTCACCCATTGGTTTGTCTTGACATGTCTTTGACAGCATAATAGACAGAAATGTCTTCAGTTTCCTTTGTCACCCATTTAAATAAAGTCAATGTAATTTCTAATAATTATTTTAATTTAAAAATAAAAACAAATTCTTTTGTTTTTGGTTTTCTTTTTTTTTTTCCCCCAGGTCATTTTTTTAAACTGTGTTATGGGCACTGATCACGAAGGGATGGGCGGGATGTATACTATTGATTGACAGCTGGTGTGTCACGTTTGCTACAAGTTAAATATGAGCATATTTGTTGAAGATGGCCACCACTCCTTCAATGAACTATACTGAAAGTTAAAGACGTATTAAGGTATAAAGGTGGGGGATTCTAATTTCAATCTAATATACAGAAATGAACAATTTCTTCACAGAGTTCGTAGCTGTTGCAGCTTAGCAACCTACCAGCCAATCAGACAACAGTATTGCCTGTTGCTAGGGTAGAAATGTACATTTCTAAACACATATTTTTATATTAAAACATTTGACTGGCTAAGTGGATTTTTGAGTGCAGTGACAGTGCTTACTTCATAGTAGAGATTAGTTCGATTGAAGGAAGCAGTGAGTGTGATTGACTGTGGCACACACAGGATCTTCTCGCAGTCTTTCAGGACACTACTGGTTGCTGTGGCTGTGAGGCCAAGGAGGGGCACTTTGGGGAACTGCCTCTTCAGGATGCCTAGCAGCTTATAATCTGAACGACAAGCACACAGGTGAACCAGTATGTAGCACATCATAGCGACGGGGGGGGTTTACTAAATATGATCTGAGGTCAGAATACTCACCTGGTCTGAAGTCATGACCCCATTGGCTGCAACAGTGCACCTCATCAACAGCAATACGATTCAGGAGGTTTGCTTTGTAGGCTTTCTCCAGACGAGACATTAGGAGCTTGCTCTTAGCAATTTTCTCTGGAGTCACGTACACCAGCTTGAAGGGGGCCTTTGGATCTGTCATTCCAGCCATGACCATCTTAGCATGCTCCTGCGAATGATGGAAACAAAAAACAAGCTGCAGTTTAGTGCCAGAAACATAAAGCTCTGCAGTTGTTGTGGATCATTACAGATGATCCATCCATGTTGTTTAGATGCCCTAAAGCCATCTCAGTCTTCATTTCTTGTCCACAGCAGAAGTGTGTGTAATGTCACTAAACGATTCTTGGACACACTGGTGAACAGTGAGTGCAGTTCCCATGGTTATTTCATTGTTGCTTAAAGCAAAATGAAGACATGGATACAAAATTAAAAGCGGTTGTCAAGAAAGTCAGTTTACTCATCAGATATGAACAGCAGTCATGGAATATGCAGAATGAATGATTTTGGATGATCTCTCACATTAGTTTTGTAAACCAGTGAAAACAAGATCACAGCTCCTTGAGGCAACTATTGTTGTGATTGTGGCTGTACAAATCAAATGTTACTGAATTGAATAGAGGTGTCAGAGTATTTTTGTTTTTAAAGGTTTTATTATTCATATAATAATCAGCTAAGAGTGTTTATATTTCTGTTCTGTACTCAACCAGCTGCATATTTTAATTGCTGGCTCCCTACTCTATAACGGAAACTGTTTGCCTTCACATTATCAGTCTTTGCCTTCACATTGTCACTGTTTGCCTTCACACTAGCAGGAAACCGCCACCCACGAGTAAGAAACAACCTTGTAGAGAACACGAAGTTTTTTGATAAACCACACCTGTTTTCTTGACAAGATAAGGATGATATTTCCTTTTTTGTATGCTTCATGATGTGTATAAATAAAGCCAGACTGCACCAAGGAGGTGTGTGAGTCTCTCCCTGAGTCTCTCACCCGTGCACGTTTAAAACTGCTCTAAGTGTCTGAGTGATATTTCATTGCATCTGAGTACTTTATAATAGAATATCTTTAAATAGAAGATAGTACCTGTACGTGTAGTTTTATTTTCTCCCTAAAACTCTGTTTTGCTAGTCTGTGCATTCACACACACATTTGCAAGTTCACTTTCATGAGACATACTATTAAACTATCAACACATGTGTATGTGTGAATTTTTGACAGATGTGTACATCTGTCAAAAGCTATGTCTCAGGCTGTCACAAAAGAAGGCTACCTGGAGGGAGAGTGGGTATGACCTCTAGTTTTTTTCCGCTCTATATCTTTGGAATCACAACACATAACACAGTTGGCTAGCAGATTTTTTTCCTTTCCAAAAATCTGCACCCTTTCAGTAAAACAAACACATAGTTACAACTTGTATCCAAAATGTGGATTACAAAAGGCAATTCTTTTCTTTCCGCACACACGCATAATCCTCAAATAATCTTTTTCTACATGGCAGGCAGTTCTTACTCTGCTACTGGATGCATTGAGCATGACTGCCGACACGTCAATAGTCTTCAGGTACATCAACTGGTCCTCCATCAGGGATACAAGTGGAGTGATGACCAGTGTAAAGCCTGATAAATGATAAAAGTAAAAGAAATAAGTCGTAAGAAGAAGAGCATAAAACTGGAAGGACAGATGTTTTGTTCCAAAACTCTGCATGTGTGTCTCACTGTACCATTAGAACAGATTGCAGGAAGCTGATAGCAGAGACTCTTCCCTCTTCCTGTGGGCATGACCAGGAACAGGTCCTTGCCTGACATGGTCAGGTTGATGGCTTTCAGCTGCAAAGGTCTGAAGTTAGAGAGATGGAATGTGGCCTTCAGGTGCTGCTCCACATTGCTGGACCATGGAAAATCTATAAAGCATGATGTTACTGCATGTCAACACAGTGCACAGACGTGGCATATTTCTACAACTAGTTGTCTAGTCTGTCTGTCGAGTACCTGTGCCATCATATCGTTGCATTTCCTGCTTGCTCATCGCTGGCTTGGCTTCAGATGCCTTTGAGGCAGAAGAAGACAAAGGCTGTGCAGTGTCACAGGCCTCCTCCAGCTGCTGCAGCAGGGCATTCTTCCGAGAAGTGAGCTCAGCCTTTTTCTGCAGGATCTCTGCGAGCTGCAGTTCCACTGTGTCCAGCTCGGCCTCGATCGAGTCCAGCTCGACCTGCATATCTAAACAGCAACACCAGGAACATTGGTAGCAGGCTCCAAGCACTTATTTGTTGTGTCTTTGGACCCCAAACAGTTCAGCAATGCCCAGATAATAACTACTCTTGGGCAATCAATTCTGGTTTGTTCAAAATCACTCATCCATTCAGCTTGCGCATGTCCAGAAGTGGCCACCAACTAATTAAGTCTGTAATTTTTTTATTTTATTTGCATGGTTTTCTTTTGCTATTCTTACTGCATAAAGTTTTTAACTAACATCAGCTCTTTTCATAAATATAAACCCGTAAAACACCAGTTTGTTTGTACAATGCCCTTGTTGGAAGACAACCTCAAAAATGACCATTTCCTATATTTGCAGTGCTACTGGATTTCTTATATTGTTAATAGTAGAGTTTAAGACATGTCCTCGATTAACAACAAC